TTGTTGTTTGGCGGGCCTGGGCTGGGGATTCGAACCCGCCACCTTAGGTGTATGTGGCTGGCGCCTTAGCCGCTTGAGCCATAGGTGCCGAGCCAGACTGTTATTTTTCTTTTTTATTTTTTGTGGAGTTTTTGGCCGGGGCTGGGTTTGAACCCACCACCTCCGGCATATGGGGCTGGTGCCTTACTCCTTTGAGCCACAGGCGCTGCCCAGTTAATTGACTTTTAACAAGAGCACCAAGACAATAAAATGGGAAGGGATTAGTGTCTTCAACAAATAGTACTAAGATAATTGGATATCCACATGAGGTGAAACCCTTTCTCATACTATACCCAATAATTAATCCTAAATGGATCATAGACCTGAACATAAGAGCTAAAAGAATAAAACTCTTAGAAGAAAGGCTGGGCGCAGTGGCTGTAATGCCTGTAAATCCTAGCATTCTGGGAAGCTGAGGCAGGTGGATTGCTTGAGCTGACCAGTTCCAGACCAGCCTAAGCAAGAGCAGGACCCTGTTCCTAAAAATAGCCAGGCGATCGATGTAGTCCCAGCTATTTGGGAGGCTAAGGAAAGACGATCACTTGAGCCCACACCCAAGAGTTTGAGGTTGCTATGAGCTATGACACAGCGATACTATATGCAAGGTGACAAAGTGAGACTCTCTCAAAAAAAAAAAAAAAAAAAGGCAACCCATGAAAGGGAGGAAATATTTGTATATAAAGAGCTCATACAACTCAGTAATTACACAATTTTTAAAATGGCTAACAGATCTAATAGACATTTCATGGAAGATGATATATCTGCAGTGGTCAATAATACATGAACAAATGCTGAACACCCAACTGGAAGGTTTGGTTTTTTGGTTTTTTTTTAGAGACAGAGTCTCACTTTATCACCCTCAGTAGAATGCCATGGCATCACAGTTCACAGCAACCTCCAACTCCTGGGCTTAGGGGATTCTCTTGCCTCAGCCTCCCGAGTAGCTGGGACTATAGGCACCCACCACAACGCCCAGCTATTTTTTGTTGCAGTTTGGCCCGGGCCGGGTTTGAGCCCACCACCCTTAGTATGTGGGGCTGGTGCCCTAACCACTGAGCCATAGGCACCACCCCAACAGGATATTTATAATCAAAAAGACAAACAAAAAAAGTGTCAGTGAGGATGTAGAGAAATTGGAATCCTTACCAAGAGTGGTAGCTTATGCTTGTAAACCTAGCACACTGGGAGGCCAAGGTGGGCGGATTGCTTGAACTCATGCAATCCACTTTGAGACCAGCCTGAGCCAGAGTGAGACCCCATCTCTAAAAAATAGCTGTGTGTGTGGCGGGCACCTGTAGTCCCCACTACTTGGGAGGCTGAGGCAAGAGGATTGCTCAAGCCCAGGAGTTTTGAGGTTGCTGTGAGCTACGATGACACCATGGCACTCTATCCAGGGCAAAGTGAGACTCTGTCTCAAAAAAACCCAACCAAACAAAAGAAACTAGTCAAGTGCTGTGGTGGGCACCTGTGGACCCAGCTACTGGAGAGGCTGAGGTGAGAGGAAAGCTTGAGCGCTAGAGTATGAGGTTGCTGTGAGCTATGATGATGCTACAGCACTGAACCTCAGGGCAAAGGAGTGAGACTCTTTCTCAAAAAAGAAAGAAAATAGAAAAGAAAATCCTAGGATGAAGAAAATGTATTTACTTTTTTTTTTTTGAGACAGAGCCTCAAGCTGTCCCCCTAGGTAGAGTGCCATGGCATCACAGCTCACAGCAACCTCCAACTCCTGGGCTCAAGCGAGTCTCCTGCCCCCGCCTCCCAAGTAGCTGGGACCACAGGCATCCGCCACAACGCCTGGCTATTTTTTGGTTGCAGCCATCATTGTTGTTTGGCGGGCCTGGGCTGGATTCGAACCTGCAAACTCAGGTGTACGTGGCTGGCGCCTTAGCCACTTGAGCCACAGGCACCGAGCCTTTTTTTTTTTTTTTTTTTTTGAGAAAGAGTTTCACTATTGCCCTTGGTAGAGTGCTGTGGCATCACAACTCACAGCAACCTCAAACTCCAGGGCTCGAGCAATTCTCTTCCCTCAGCCTTCCTAGTAGCTGGGACTACAGGTGCCCGCCACAACGCCCAGCTATTTTTGTCATTGTTGTAGCTGTCATTGTTATTAAGGAGACCCAGGCTGGGTTCAAACCCACAAGCCTTGGAGCATGTGGCTGACACCCTAACCACTGAGCTATGGATGCCCCCTGAGGGGTTAGTCTTGCTGTCTTGGGTGGCAGAGGCAAGAAAGATAGAGGAGGTGGAAGGAGGGGAAGGTATACTCAGTGTAACGTTTATTGAAAAAAATCCATGTGTAAGTGGATCTGTGCTGTTCAAACCCATGTTGTTCAAGGGCCAACTATACATTGCTGCTGGGAATGTAAAATGGTACAGCCACTTTGGCAAACAAGTCTGGCAGTTCCTCAAAATGTTACCATATGTCTCAGCAATGTAACTCCTAAGTATATTTATACCCAAGAGAAGTATATACATATGTTCACACAAGAACTTCTAAAGGAATGTTCATAGCAACAATAGTTATAACAGTCAAAAACATTTGGGGAACAACCCCAAACGTCCATCAGTTGATGAATGGATAAATAAAACATGGTTATAGCCATGCAAAACATGATTATATTCCATTACAAAAAAATAAAAAATGGAATTTTTTTGACAACTAAAATGAATGAAATTCAACCATGTGACAACATAGATGAACCTTGAAAACATGTCAAGAGAAAGATACCAGTCAAAAAAAGCATCTAATGATTCCTTTTTTTTTTTTTTAAGAGACAGTCTCACTTTGTTCCCTCTGTAGGGTGCGGTGATGTCACAGCTCACAGCAACCTCCAGCTCTTGGGCTTAGGCCATTCTCTTGCCTCAGCCTCCCAAGTAGCTAGGACCACAGGCACCAGCCACAACGCCCGGCTATTTTATGTTGCAGTTTGGCCAGGGCTGGGTTTGAACCCACCACCCTACTCACTGAGCCACAGGCGCTGCCCTCTTATGATTCCATTTATCTGAAATGCCTGAGTAGCTAGATCTATAGAGACAATAGATTAGTGGTTGCCTGGAATTGGGAGCAAGGAGAAATGGGGAGTGACAGCTAATGGGTACAGGGTTTCTTTTTGGAGTGATAGAAATGTAAAATTAGGTTGTATTGATGGTTGCACAATTCTTTAGACATACTAAGAAACCAGTGAATTTTAAACTCGAAAGGATTGAACTGTATGGTTTGTGAATAAAACTGTTTTAAAACTGTTTTAAAATCCCAGGTGGGATGGCTCATGCCTGTAATCTCAGCATTTAGAAGGCTGAGGCAAGAGAATCACTTGAGCTCAGGAGTTCCAAACCAGCCTGTCAACATAGCAAGACCCCATGTCTACAAAATGCCTATAGTCCCAGTTACTGGTGAGACTGAGGCAGGAGGATCGCTTGAACCCAGGAGTTGGAGGCTGCAGTGAGCTACAATTGTGCCACAGCCTGGATAATAGAGTAAGGCACCATCTCTTAAAAAATAAAAAGAGCGGCTCGGCGCCTGTGGCTCAAGTGGCTAAGGCGCCAGCCACATACACCTAAGGTGGCGGGTTCAAATCCCCAGCCGGCCCGCAAAACAACAATGACGGCTGCAACCAAAAAAAAA